TCTCTTTGTGTTGGAGAATGTTTAACTGATACTTGAGGCAAGACTGAATGCTGAATTTGTGGAGGACCTGGAGGTTGAAATGTCACTTCATCATACAAAAAAGGTAGTGTTAAAACCACATTTGGGGACTCTGGTGCCTGAGCTAGGTCCTCCTGATGGGTTGGAGGTTTGACCTGTTCAGGAGGATGAACTGGAGGAGGCTCAACATTTCCCTGAGTCTTAGACGACTGAACTGGAAACTCCTGTTTCATTGCTGATTTCCCCTTCTCAGAAGGAGTCTCTGGAGGTTGAGGTGGGACAGCATGCTGAGTTGGACATGAATGAACCTCCTTAGTGGGTTCTGGAGTTAGGGTCAGCTGCAGATCAGCAGGCTTAACTGTAACATTGGGCAAGGTTGAAAGATGAGGGTGGGTTGGGGCCTCCTGCTGAACTGGAGAAGGTTCCACCTCTTCAGGGAGTTTTACAGGCTGATGTGCGCCCCCTTGCTGTACTGGAGAAGCCTGAACAGGGGCCTCCTCCTGGGTTGGACAAGGTGTGCTTTCCTCAGAGGGCTTTGAAGGTTTAGCTGGCAATTCCTGCTGAGTCTGAGAAGGTGCAATACCCTCAGAGGGCTTTGAAAGCTGTGTTGGGGCCTCATGCTGTGTTGGAGGTTTAACCTGAGGAGGTTCAGGAGGTTGTGTTGGGGTTTCCTGCTGGACTGGAGTTTCACTCTCCTCAGGGAGCTCTGAAGGTGCAGTTGGGGCCTCTTGCTCTGTTGAAGGAGGTGTAATTTCTTCGGGGAGACTTAGAGTCTCACCTGGAAATTCCTGGTGACTTGCAGAAGGTTCAATACCCTCAGATGGTTTTGGAGGCTCTCCTGGAACTTCCTGCAGCATTGGAGAAAGTTCTACTTCGTCAGGGAGCTCTGCAAGTGGAACAGCAGCCGCCTGTTCACTTGGAGGTTTGAACTCATGGGGAAGCAGAGGAGCCAGTGTGGAGGCTTCTGCGTGGACTGGAGAAGGTTCTACTTTTTCAGGAAGCTCTGGAGGGAGAGCTGGGGCCTCTAGCTGGACTTGAGATGGTTCAATCTCCTCAAGGTGTTCTAGAGCTGCACCTGGGGCTTCCTGTTGGCCAGGAGAAGTTTCCACCTCCTCAGAGGGCTTTGGAGGCTGACCTGGGCCTTCCTGCTGTATTGGAGAAGGTCCAAACTCCTCAGGGGGCTCTGAAGCCTGAGATGGAGCCTCCTGCTGCCCTGCAGAAGGCTCTAGCTCCTCTGGAGACATTGAAGGCTGTGTTGGGGCTTCCTGCTGGACCGGAGAAGGTTCCAAGTCCTCAGAAAGTTGTGGAGGGTGAGCTGGGAATTCCTGCTGCATTGGATAAGGCTCAAACTCCTCAGGGGGCTCTGGAGGCTCAGCTGAAGATTCCTGCTGGACTGGAGAAGGTCCAACTTCCTCAGATGGCTTTGGAGGGTGAGCTAGAATCTCCTGCTGGGTTGGAGAAGATCCCACCTCCTCAGAGGGCTTAGGAAGGTGAGCTAGAATCTCCTGCTGGGTTGGACAAGGTCCCACCTCCACAGAGGGTTTAGGAGGGTGAGCTGGTGCCTCCTGCTGGGTTGGAAAAGTTCCCACCTCCACAGAGGGTTTAGGAGGGTGAGCTGGAGCTTCCTGCTGGCCTAGAGAAGATCCAACCTGCTGGGGAGCCTTTAGAGGCTGTGCTGAGGCTTCCTGCTGGACTGCAGAAGGCTCAACTTCCTCAGTGGGCTTTAGAAGATGAGCTAGGACCTCTTGCTGGACTGGGAAAGGCTCA